CCCCAAAACCCCAAAACCCCAAAACCCCAAAACCCCGTGAATTTTATAAAATTAAATGAAGCCTCTCAGTCAAAAAGGAATAGCAAATTACCTTCCTATTAGGCAATTTGCAAGGAAGGCGAGAAGAGTCACTGGGCTACAGAAGTTCCAAGAAATGGCGCAAAAGTCCAAAGAGAAGAGCGAACAACCTCAGCCAGGTAATTTAAGAACATAATTTTTAGAAACACAAACAGATTTAATCAAAGAAGGAGAGTCTTTTGAGATTGAAGACAATCATTACTTCCAAATGCTTGATACTATTATGAAAAACAAGGAAAACCCCGATCTAAAGGATGGCTTCGACCCGAATAACTTGACTCCAGAGGAGCTTTCAAATGCAATTAAGGATGCTGAAGCTGAAATGTCTGATTTGGAACACGAGGAAAGGACCAATTCTCCTTTTAGGTTTGTATCCCCTCCATCTACTCACAGTGAATACCTGAAAACTATTTCAGAGGCTGATGCTAGATATAAGGTATCCAAGAAATACTTAGATGGAGCTATGTCAAAGTCTTATTATGAAGACGATCCAGAGAGAATGCAAGAAGAAGTGTCATTACAGAATAAATTGCCTCCTAATTTCATGATCTCTACCCTAGTCTATCCAAAAACTCAAAGTGAGGTGATCTTGTGTGGAGTTGAAAAGAGTTCTTACATCCATGCACATATGTTGTCAGATCTTTTACTGCATTTCAATCCAGATGTAGTCTTCACACAGATCTCACCCGACGAGCCCTACTTTATTCGAAGACCCCGAAATTATGACTTTGTCAAAAACTCAATGAAGATGCTAGGGGATGAAGGTTTCAAGTCAGATAACAGTGGGTATAAGGGGTACTGGAAGGCATTCATAAGGGGTCAAAGTAAAGCCGACTTCTATGTAAACCCTGGCCCACATTTCCTTTCTGACCTGACAATTTTTAAGAGTAAGAATGATATGATCATTGACCAGAATCTGACCCCTTGAACTAAGGAGTTTGATATCGGAGCTAATATTGCGTATACAAAGGGATCTGTTATTTTTGATAATGAGCTCTTACCTGATTGATTCTTAACTCCTTTAATACATCAGTACAACAATCTTGACACTAAAGTTCAATGCATTGTTGGAGGATACCCAATCCTTGCTCTGAGAGATATGGTCGTAAGAAATCACACCTTTGATGAGATTTACGATAATTTTAAACTTATGATGGAAATGTACCAATCTGGAGAAGTCACTTTTGATCCTACTTATTTATTCCAAGATTACTATGTCAAGCCACAAGCTGAGTATATGGCTGAAGTTCTTCGACAAGCTTGTCATTCTTCAAAGCAGTACTTTGCTGTTGTTGATAAGGACATGGTTCCTTTTATCGAGAAACAGTGGAGAGATTTAGGTGAGACACGGAAAATCACCGATTTTTACTCAGCAATCCCCAGCAACACCACTGATGAAGCTCAGAGCAGCAAGACCTACGTTGAGTATGTCCAGAAGCATGCCTTGTTCGACGTGATGTTCGATTCATTTGTGCACAACAATTTTATGAAATACTCTTTCTTCCCATTCAACGGAGTGGGGCTCTACAACTGGGCCTCCTCCATTTCTTCAACAATAGAGTATTGGAATCATTTTTATGGAAAATATTTGGATGAGTTTCAAAAGATTGATATTCCAGGTGAAGAGAAGGACTTGTACAGCAAGAAACTGAAATACCAGGAAAATTATGGAGATGAGTCAATATTTAAATAGTTTACCTCCTAAGATATTTTCAAGCATCCTTGGAAAGCCTGGGGTTTTGGGGTTTTGGGGTTTTGGGGTTTTGGGG